GATGGGTGATCCAGGAGCTCCTCTGGCTCCTTTGAGCCAGCTGCTCTCCCTTTCTGTGCTTCAGTTTCCTTTCCTGTATGTATCAATAGAATGAAGAAGCGGGAGCCGATGAGCTCTGAGATCCCTTGAGCTCGGACACAAAGCTCTAGATATAGGGAGAGTGGAGATGGAGGAAGGCTTGGCTTGGAGAAGTGGGGGGCAGGGAAGGGTGGTAGAGAGAGGCCGGCTTAGAACCCAGGTGGGCACCTGGGCAATGAATGGACATGGGGGATCGGAACGGTGAAGCAAAGAACCAGTGTCTTCCTTGGCACGTGCCAAGTAACTCATTGCTCTTGACCTCTAGGAAAGAAAAAGAAGAAAACTCGAGGTGATCATTTTAAACTTCGCTTCCGAAAAAACTTTCAGGCCTTGCTGGAGGAGCAGGTGAGAGGAGCTGGCTGGGGAGGACCCCACAGGGCAGGGATGCACCTGCAGACATCCTTGGCCCCGGCAGGTGTTCCTGCAAGGGGACAGAGGGGTCACAGGGCCAGCCCCCTTGTCTCTGCAGAACCTGAGTGTGGCTGAGGGCCCCAACTACCTGACGGCCTGTGCAGGACCCCCATCCCGGCCCCAGCGCCCCTTCTGTGCTGTCTGTGGCTTCCCCTCCCCCTACACCTGTGTCAGCTGCGGCGCCCGGTACTGTACTGTGCGCTGCCTGGGCACCCACCAGGAGACCAGGTGAGAGGGGCCTCCCCCGGGTCCACACCCTCCCCCTCCTCCCCCCACAGCCTCCTGGACCCTCTGCTCATCCTGGGCCTCCTCTGCCTTGCAGGTGCCTGAAGTGGACTGTATGACCCTAGGCGTCCGCAGAGAGGAAGGCCTTGCATCACCTGGCCTCGGAGAGGGCATCACCGAAAGGAAAGGCGCTCCCCCTGGACCAAGAGAGGAGCCCAACGAAGCTCGTGTCCTGTCCTCCAGGGAAGACCAGTCTTGCTCCCAGGGACTGTGGCAGGGCAGTGGGCCGAGCCCTCAGAGCGCTGTTGTAATAAAAGGTCTTGTGCGAGGAGGAGCCTGCCTGTGTGGTCCTGTGGGGTTTTGGGGGTGAGGCTGATGGGTCTCCTGTCTCTCGAACTCACTGCTCTGTGTCTTTTCCTACTCCCGCTGTCTGCCCCTCATGGTCCCTGACCGTGAAAGATTTTGTCCCATTCTCCTGCCACCCCCAGGTCTTTGCATTTCTTGGCTGCTTCTTTCTTTTCTTTATATGTATAAATTTATTTATTTATTTATTTATGGCCGCGTTGGGTCTTCATTGCTGTGCACCGGCTTTCTCTAGTTGCAGTGAGCAGGGGTTATTCTTCGTTGCGGTGGCTTCTCTTATTGCAGAGCACGGGCTCTAGAGCGCAGGCTCAGTAGTTGTGGCGCACGGGCTTAGTTGCTCTGCAGCATGTGGGATCTTCCCGGACCAGGGATTGAACCTGTGTCCCCTGCATTGGCAGGCGGACTCTCAACCACTGCGCCACCAGGGAAGCCCCTTGGCTGCTTTATGTCACTATTTGGGTTATTGATTTAGTTGTTTTTTTTTTTTTTTTTAATTTGTTTCTATAGTTCCTCCGGGTATCTTTTGAGTACCGCTGGCTCCCAGGACTGGTTATGGGGAAGTGGAGTGAGGGGAGGGGTGGGGATGGGGGTATAGAAGGCGCCACAGAAGGCACCAGCACTGTCTTTGTCCTCTGGTTCTTAACCAGATGGGAGAGACTGGGACCTCTTTCTTGGTGCTGCCTGTCTGAGGCAGCACTTGTCCTTAGGAAGCCCCTCTTACCAGGGGCTGTGGTGTGTGAAATTATTAGCAGCAGAGAGAACCCAGAAGTTTCTGGGAAGCGTCAGGAAGTTCACGGTATAGAGGCCCCTGTTCTCGGTGGCCCTGGGTGCTGTAACTTCTGTGCTATTAGAGCTTCTTACACCCACACCTTCTCTAAGTGGATTGCAAGCTGTGAGCTCTTAAGTGCCTTGGAGTTGCTGTCTTAAGGCCCCGTACCCTGTTGCAACATAGCCAACCAGGTGCTTAGGAAATATTTGTTGCACAAATTACTTCAGTAAGATATTAATGAGATCCAGCCAAGTTGGCGTTAAGGAACGTCTTAGGCTCTTCTCCCCACTACTGGGGACTTCCTTGGGGTTGGCCCAAATATTCCCAGTGTCTTCCTGAGGAGCTTCCTGCCCTTCCTCTGGAGACTTGGTTGGGCAAGTGGTGTTGGTGACATCTTCGTGTTCAGTGGTGGTGAGGACAGGGTTTAGAGACAGTCCTCAGTGTGGTGGTTTTGAAAAATGGCTGTAAAATTTTTTACTATCCTTTCATCAAAAGGTGGTGCTTGGTCCCCTTCCCCTGGGATCTGGGCAGGCTTATGAGTGCTTGGACCAGTAGAAAGTGGTAGAAGAGTGATCACATGACACTCAAGGCAAGGTGGTAGAAGGCAGTGCAGCTTCTGCCTTGTCCCCAGGACACTTGCTTTGGGAGCCTTCAGCTACCATGTAAGAAACACAACCATCCTGAAGCTGCCATGCTGTGAGGAAGCCCAGCTACACCCAGAGGCCACGTGCAGGTCCTCCCATTGACGGGTCCGGCTGAGCCAAGCCTTCAAGCCATCCCAGCCCAGGCTTCCATCATAGGAGTGAAGATGCTTCCTGATGATTCCAACCCCCAGACATCAAGTTACCCTCAACCATTTGAGTCTTCCTAGCCGTGTCCTCAACATCATGGAGCAGACACTGGCTGTCTCTGCTGTGTCCTGTCTAAATTCCTGACTTGCAGAATCTCTGTGTATAATAAAATGGTTTATGCCTTGGAGCCTTGAGATGGTTGGTTATACAGCAATAGTAACTGGGACATCAGGAATTCAGTCTGCTGGCTGCAAACTCTTGGCCTAGATTAATTATCTTGCTCTCAAGAAGGGAAACTTTCCTAGATCCTAACCTTTCTATTTTTCTCTCCACCGAGAAGTATCGTCAAGAAAGTAAATAGAATTCCCTGGTGGTCCCATGGTTAGGACTCGGTGCTTTTGCTGCCGGGGCCCTGGGTTCGATCCCTGGTTGGGGAACTAAGATCCCACAAGCCACAGGCATGGCCAAAAAAAAAAAAGGCCATTTCTGGGCTGAGAAACACCTTCTGTGCTGCACTGTGATCACCTGCATCGGAATTCCTGTCAGATTTCCACTGAGTCAGCACAATCTCTTTGGATTATTTCCTAAATTTACTGACTTTGTTTCCTATTTTGTTGCTATAAAAAGAATCACAGAGGTTCTGCTTGCTGTAAGATTTGTCTACTCAGTGACACACTCAGTCTTCCCCCACTGACCTTGATAGGACAGAGCCAGACCCCAGGGGCTCCTGATGCTCTGATGCTGATTGGGTCCCCAAGTCATTCATTGAACTTCTCTAGGAAAGATCTCCAGAACCCCATTTGAAACCTTAACTCCTCAAGGGAAACCTTGAGCAATTTTTGCCAGCTCCTGTGTACTAGTGGAGACTTGGTCCCCACCTTGGGAAACACCTTGGTCTTTGGGGAATCTACACTATGCCAAAGCTTCTAGAGGCTAGAAGCTTCTAGATCCAGTGTCATGTGGTAGGGCAGCACAGACTCTTCCTGGGCCCGCAGGGGCAGAAGAGGTTAATGCTAGGATCTGGAAGGCTGAAGACTGGGGCGCTCCCACCTAAAGACCTCAATGAGCTTTAAATTTAATTGACAAGGATTAGGGACTTCCCTGGTGGTGCGGTGGTTAAGACTCTGCACTCCCAACGCAGGGGGCCTGGGTTCAGTCCCTGGTTAGGGAACTAGATCCCACATGCATGCCACAACTAGGAGTTTGCATGCCACAACTAAGGAGCCCATGTGCCGCAACTAAGGAGCCCATGTGCTGCAACTAAGGAGCCCATGAGCTGCAACTAAAGAGACCACTTGCCGCAACTAAGACCTGGCACAACTAACTAACTAACTAACTAAAATATTATTAATAATAATAATTGACATGGATTAGTTTGGAGAGCCAGGGATTCTGGGAAACAGGCCATTTGGGTCTTCAGTCTCAGACCTTGGGCCCACTACTTACTAATTACTGTACTACCAATTATTACTAGCTTGGACAGGTCACTTTGCCTCTTTGACTCTGTTACAGCCACCTCCCAGAAATTGTGAGGATTAAATGAGACCGTACCAAGCCCAGTGCCTGGCGTCTGGTAAGTACTCAGCTGTTGACATCATTGCCCAAGACCTAAAGCAGTTTGTTGCTGAGTTTCTCATAGCTAGTTCCTCAAAAACTGGAAGATTCCTGGAGTAGCCTTAGCACCTTGCCTATTACATGGTAACTAGCTGTCTGCATTTCTGTTTGCTCCCAGCCTGTGAGTTCTCTGAGGGCAGGGCCCCGGTCTTGCTGCTGTAGCTTCTAGCAAAGAAGAAAATAGTGTTGAAAACGGTACATGTGTCTATGAGTCTGTTTCTGTTTTGTAGATAGTTCATTTGTGCCTTATTTTATTGTGGTTTTCTTTGTTTGTTTTTTGTGGTTTTTTTGCGGTACGCGGGCCTCTCACTGCTGTGGCCTCTCCCGCTGCGGAGCACAGGCTCCGGACGCGCAGGCTCAGTGGCCATGGCTCACGGGCCCAGCCACTCCGCGGCATGTGGGATCTTCCCGGACCGGGGCACGAACCCATGTCCCCTGCATCGGCAGGCGGACTCTCAACCACTGCTCCACCAGGGAAGCCCTGGAAGTTATTATTTTTTAAAATAAATTTATTTATTTATTTATTTTTGGCTGAGTTGGGTCTTTGTTGCTGCGCACGGGCTTTCTCTAGTTGTGGCGAGTGGGGGCTACTCTTCATTGTGGTGCGCGGGCTTCTCATTGCGGTGGCTTCTCTTGTTGTGGAGCACGGGCTCTAGGCACGCGGGCTTCAGTAGTTGTGGCTCGTGGGCTGTAGAGCGCAGGCTTAGTAGTTGTGGCGCACAGGCTTAGCTGCTCCGCGGCATGTGGGATCTTCCCGGACCGTGGCTTGAACCCGTGTCCCCTGCATTAGCAGGCGGATTCTTAACTGCGTCACCAGGGAAGTCCCTCTGGAAGTTATTGAACCGTCCTCAGAAAACTATACTTGCACCAGGCCTGGTTGATTTGACACAGTTTCAAAGGGCTTGTCAGTTTCTGATATCCACTCTCAGGCCCAGGTAAAGAAACTCTGCTCTAGACCAACTGTCTCCTTGTACAGCTGTGAGAAAGGTCTGGCCAGAGGGTATCTCTGCTATTCCGGTTCCTAGAGCTGGATATTCCTTATCTGCTCCTTGATGGCCCTTATCGGTAGTTGTGACAGTGCCACAGTCTAGAAATCACCTGCCACTCCTCGCCTCTTCTGCTGGATGGGACAGTCCAAAGGCGATGGAGATGAGAACAGGTGACAGCCTGGGGTCCAGGAACTGAGGCGGCACCCAGGGTCCCTTGCTGGGCCAGCTGCCTCATGACACCTTCAACCCCTGAACAGTTCGCAATACAAATTTATTTATGCAAGTATTTATACAGACCACAAACACTCGGGGACGCCTCCGCCCCCTTAACGGCCCAGAACCCAGACTCAGAAGGTTAAGAGGGGTCCAGCCTCAGGGGCCAGAGGTGAGTTCTCAGGAAGCTTGTTCTTGGCCTGAGAGGATCCAGGGGGCCAGACGAAAGAGGCGTGACCCGGGCGGAGCTCCAACAGGGAAGGCGGAGCCTGAGGTCAGAGCTGGGCGCGGCTTCCGGGCACGGGGCGGAGCCTGAAGCGTGGCTTGGCCCTGAGCTTGTTACCGCGAGCAGGGTCCTGCGCCTGCAGCCCCGGGTTTACGGGGACCCCTCTCCACTGGGGGCAGTGGGAAGGGAATAGGGTCCACAGGCCAGGCCACCTACACGTAAGCGTTTTTCCCGTACTTGCCAAAGCTGCTGTCGCCTTCTTCATCCGAGGCCGAGGTGGGCAGGCGGGCAGCGAGGCTTTTGGCGGGCATTGCCGGGGCCTTGTACGGAAGCCGGATGCTGGCAGGGGAGAGAACCCGGGTCAGAGGGAGATGCAGCCCTCGCCCCGCGCCCCGCCCCTCGCGGCACGCCCTCCCTTACCTGACGCCTTGGTCCTGGTTCCGAGAGCCGCAGCAGTTGGAGAAGAGGCAGATGCCACCCAGGATGGCGAGCAGGGAGGCGCTCCAGCCCAGGTAGAGGGCGGGGCCCAGCTCGTACCTGGGGACAAGGACGATGAGCAGGTGGTGCTAGCTCAGGGTGGGGCAGAGGCCCACCCACTACCCCCGTGGGTGGGGCTCCCACACTCACTTGGTTCCGGGGTACAAGGGGTCGAAAAAGTCCCGGGTGATGTGGAAGGCGTACCAGGAGATGGTCACAATCCCACAGACACCTGGGGGAGAGAGAGGAGAACCGCACTAGGCCCTGTGGAGGAAGGGCGGCCCGGAGAGCAGGACGTGGGCCTCAAGTCCAAGAGCAAGTTTCACTGGATCCCTTTCGTTTCCCCTCTCCAGCTCATGACTCTTCCGTTTCCTATGTTTCCTACGTCAACTGCAGGCTGCTCGATCCAGCCCCCAGGACCCTACCGCAGCCCACCTCTCCTGTGGTCTCCACTCTGCTCCTCAGCCCCTCTTCCCCCTGTTTATCCCCGATCTGCCCTGGCATTCCTACCTCTAGCGCCTGGACCACAGTTTCCTCGCTGGGAATCTGCTCATCCAAGTCCTCCCCATCCTCAAAAGCCCAAGCAGTCTTCCCCATCAGCCCTGCCTGCCCTGACCCCCCTTTCCTTGGCCTCCTAGAGCCCTCAGCGCTGTGCCAGGTCTTCACCGCTCGGTGCATGAAGGCCTGAAGCCAGCCGGGCCCCCGGACAATAGGTCCAGCCTGGCCGCCCCCTGGGGCTTGTCTTCCAGCAAGCCACCTGGCCTTTCTGAGCCTGTTTCCACATCTGGAGAACAGGACAAGACCTGCCCTGCCTCACAGGCTTGTTGTGAGCTGATGTGTGCAGAAATGTTTTGCAAATTGAAAAGGGATGGTGACTCACATGGTACTGTTATTGTGTACAGCGTGTGTGTGTGTGTGTGTGTGTGTGTGTGTGTGTGTGTGCGCGCGCGCGCACGCATGTCCTAACTCTGGTCTTCCCATCCAGGCTGTAAGCTCTGGAGGGCAGAAACTCTCACCTTTGGAGTCCCTCCCACTGCCTGGCTCCTAGTGCGGGCTCAAGAAACATTGCTGATGGACTGATTTGTAACCAAGGGATCTGGTGAGTATGGGTGAGAGTGGGGTGAGCTGGGAGAGAGGGCAGGTGTCAATGCAAAGGGGAAGGTGAGGCAACCCTGCAGTCTGGGCCACGGGCCACCCCACCCCCACCACGGCACAGCGTCCCCCCATCACTTGCCCCCAATTACCAGCCAGTATGTTTAGGGCCCCTGCGGTGGCCGCCAGCTTGGTTTTCCTGGAGGGCTCCAAATCCCCAATGTTCGTGCAGCGCAGCCCCACCATGCCTAGGAAGAGGCCCAGGAAGCCCAGGAAGATGGCGGTGATCATGAGCGCGCGGCAGGCCTGGATGTACCCTAGGGAGGTGGGACACAGCCATGGGTCCCGGAGCCGGCCCCTTCCCCTCCATCTGCTCTCCCGGCTACGACAGGCAGCCCCTTATACAATCTGCTCAGGCCTCAGTCCCTAAAAGCCCTCAAGTCCTCTCCCTGTCCTTCAGGCCCCATCCAGACTAAGGGGTCAGGCCGAGGGGTCACACGCCCCTCCATCCCAGGAGCTCACCTCAGTGCCAACGAGGCTCAGCGCCGCCTGACCCTCCCGCCTGCGCAGGCGCACTTCGCCTCTACCTCCATTACAGGGCTTCTCCTTGGCGCCACTGACACTTTGGCCGGATAATGCTTTGTTCTGGGGGCATTCTCTGCATTGTAGGACGTTTAGCAGCATCCTTGGCCTCTGCCCACTAGGCACCAGTAGCAATCCCCCCAAACAGGACAATCAAAATGTTTAGACATCGTCAAAAAATCACCCCTGGTTGAGAACCGCCGTGCTCTGCTGGGTATTACAGACACTGCACCCAAGCACCCCCTCCCTCTCCCCACATCTACTAGGTCCCATTTAGTGCCCAGCGCAGTGCCCGACATCCTGAACTGAGCCTCTTCCTGGAGTGACCGATAGGGGGCAGCAGTGACCTATGGGTCACTGGGTAAAGGGCAGTTTCTTATCTGGAACGTGGGATACCTGGGCCTAGGACCAATCCAGGTCAGTCTAGCGCACATGCTTTCAGTGCCTGTTTCCCCTTTCTCAAACTCCAAGAAAAAGGCTGCTCCCTTTCTGGCCCCCCCTTCCTCCTTCTCTGTCTTTGATAGTTGCCAAGCACTCCCAAGGACCTTGCACCCCTTTACCGGGTGGGGCAGTGCCACCTGTGTTGAAGGGGAAAGGCTGGGTCCCTGCCAGGAGGATGTGAAGCGGCCCAGAGTTGGGGAGCAGGGAAGAGCGACAGAGTTCTCTGGGAGCATTTTCTTATTCCCAGCCGCTCCTTCCGGAGTTCCCACCTTCTCCCCATCCATCCAGCCAGCCATCCCCACCTGGGGCAGACCAGCTCCGGATCCTCAGGTAGCTCTCGTAGACAAAGAGAGATTATTGAAGGGCCCATAAGAGCATGGGCTGGGTGGCTGCGAGGTGAATAATTGATAGGAACCTTCCCAGGACCAGAACCAGCCTGGGAAGGAAGTATCAGCGGGCTCGTGATACACACGAGTCTGGATTCCAGCCCCCCTACCACCTGTGTGGCTCTGGGCAGGACACCTTGCAGTCTTCCAGTTTCTGGAAGATGAGGTTACTAACACTGCCAACAGCGGGGCTGTTATCAGCACTGAAATGGCGCATGTGAAGCGTGCGGCACAATGCCTGGAACCTCAGCCTGGGCAGCTGCGCTCTCTGCCCTCCCGCTCAGCACACCCTCGCACCCCTGTCTTTCATTGTCTTTCGTGCACACTCACGAGAGGTTTCAAGCAGCAGCCCAAGTTGGGGCCCCTCCTTACACCATGGTGTGGTTGAGGGGTAAGTCAGGGGGTGGCCAGGGCTGCTGAGTGGCTGCCGCCAATGTCTGTTCTGGCCACCCAGCGTTCTGGGTGTCTGGCCCAGACTGTACTCAACTTTTACAGAGGGCTTTTTTCCGGGGGGGGGGGCGGGCATCCTGGATGGGATGAGAGCATGAAGCCCCTGTAGCTGCCTCAGGAGATTCTGGTAATAGTGGGGGCACGAGAGACCCACCTGGACTCCCTAACAGCTCAGAGCACCTTTGACATACACGGGGGCAATTTCGTGGCATGCTGACCTCGGCTCTTTCCCCTACCACCTGGCCCCTGCAGCAAGGGGCCTGGAAAAGCATGACGCCTCGTGAGCACCCAGTGAGGGCACGGGAGCTGCACTGCACAGGGCTTCTTGTCATCCCCTCTTGGCCTGGCGAGGGGCCGACTGAAGGACTCCTGGGGGACAATGCGGGTGCTACTCATAGGTGAGCAGGGAGCAGGACGATGCTTCAGCCACCACGGAGGAACTTTCTGGGTCAAAAGAGCTGTAGGCTCCAGCCCGCCAAGAAGCTCAAAAAAGTACGTTGACCCAAGAACCCCAAGCACATATACACACACACCCCTGCTTACAGTGGACACTGAGATGTGCAAGAGGACTCCCTTTAAAACAGTCCTTTAGAACTCACCATGGAGGTGAGACCAATGCTCCAGTGGAAGCCTGGCGAAGCTACGGAGACTTTTAAGTATCTCACCCCCCAAGAATCCAAGATGAGGTTTCCTCTTCACCCCACGAGCCCCAGCACTCCCACCCTGAAACTGAAATGCTGAATTTGATTGAGCGAATATAGATGCTCACATCACATTAACATTTTGCGCATTTTATCGCATATAATCCTCACGACCACCCGGTGAACCAGTGCCATTATGACCGTAATCTTACAGATGGGTCAAATGCAGCTCATTTTGTCACCTGCCCGGGGCACAGAGCTAGTCAAAGGCAGGTGCTGAAGCCGGCACTCTGGCCCCAGTGCCTGCACTTGTAGCCACAAAGACAGGGTCAAGTCAGAGCAGGGGGCCACGTGTGGTGAGGCCTCCACCGCAGTTCCAGAGGGCTGCCCCCGGCACTCCCGGCTTCAGGAACTCAGGTCTCCCAGCTGGATTGGGCCTCCCGTATCTGTATGGCGCCCAAGGTCAGACCGCAGGCAGCACCCACCCTTGCCGGGGTCTCTCCAACCTCCCGCCTCCCTCTGCTCCCCTCAGCTCTCCCCACCCCGTACCAGAGAGGGCCAGCATGGACGGAAACTCCCAGCAGTTGTAGACTCCAAGGGAGTCGGTGGCACAGCTGTACCAGAGGTTCTCGAAGATGGTGCTGGTGGTGATGACGTTCCCGTGCACGGTGGACACTCGCCAGCTGCTGTGTGTCAGGGTCACCCCTAGCATCAGCAGCCCCAGGGCTGCGATGAAGAAGCCGAAGATCTCCACAGCCACCGACATGGTGGGACACAGGCCCCGGGAGGAGCCTGGGGCCCCAGAGAAGGGGAGGGGCTGAGCCCCAGGGGAACTTGAAGGGGCTTTGGCTAAGGACGGCGGTTAAGGCAGGCTGGGGAGAGAGAGGGAGGCAGCCTGCAGCCTCTGCCTCTTCCTTGGCCCAGGTCTGTCTCTGGTTGGTCTCTTCCCTCTCTCTGGGTCTCTCCGCTTCCCTGCAGGTCGGTCAGAGGAGTGAGACAAGAGTGCACGGCAGCTGTTGAAGAGGAGATGGACGGAATAAACGAAACGGGCCAAAAGTCCACCCCTCCCCCACGTCTCTGGGCTGCCCTGGGCTCCCCGCCCCACGAGGGTGTGGGGAGAGGACTTACCGGGGAGGGACTAATGGATGCCGCCAAGGAAGGGTTCCCACGGGAGGCACTGGGAGCCGAGGGGAAGCATCCGCCTCTGACTCAGCTTTCATCGGGGGCCAGAGAATGGAGTAAGAGGGACAAGAGACAGAGACGGAGACTGACCACAGGCAGGTCCCCTGCACCTTTCAGTGGGGAAGGGCCAAGGGAGCGGAGCCACCCTCTCTGAATGTTGGTGAGAACAATTCAGGAAACTCAAAGAGCTAGGGCTTGAGGCGTTGAGTCTCCAAGGAAGATGAAGGTCGAAAAGGGGATGGGGAATCTGGGAGAAACCCATGGCTCTGGAATCCAACCAACCTGGATTCAAACCAGGTCCATCATTTACCAAAGGGATGTGGGCATGAAGTTTGAGCCCCTTGAGCTTGTTTCCGATTCTGTGAACTAGAACTACTACTTCTCACTTCACAAGAATCGTGACTACAGATCAAAGCTCCCCGCAAGTATGAATCGCTCGATACTCGACACTTGGTGAATGCCCTGGGTCTGGGCGCCCAAGGGCCAGGGTGAGGCCAAAGGAGGTTGCTTTCCCCCAAACTTCAACTTCCTGAACTTGAAGTTCCCCCCTTGTCGGGATGATCTTTGACTCTCGGCAAGAAGCTGGATCTTGCTGCTAAGGGGCCTCAAGGGGGATAAATCACAAGCCCGGGACGTGATCCTCTGATAAACTAAAAAGCAAAGAGTTATCAGAACTGTCACCAGCTCTATTAATTATGAGAGATTAGAAACCTCTGGGTCCCCACCCCAAACCGAGGCTGAGCACCTGGCCCGGCACAGACGGTCTCAGTTCCTGCCCCAAGGCCACGGCTGGGGCAGCTCTGGTTCTCTTCTGGCAAGTGAGGCTGGGGCTCAGTCCAAGGGGCCCGTCCTACACCCAGGCGGTCACATGGGCATCACTGCGCTGAGGTGTAGTCCCCCATCCCCTCCTCCCCGTGTCAGGCTCCTCTGTGCTCCCCCGGGCGCCTCCGCCCCAATCCCCCCCAAGCTGGGCTGAGGAACGAGAAGTATGCAGTGAAGCAACGCAGTGAGGCAAGGCAGGCCCGTGCTGAGCCTGGCACCGGCCGGGTGTTGGGCAAAGCAGGCTGTGTGGGGACTGGGTCCCGACCTTCCTTCTGCAACTGGGATGTCCTGGGTTCCTGACCTCTCCCAAGACCTCTGCCGACTCCACGCCAAATGCCCATTTCCTTCCCCCAACCAGTGGCCCCTCTCCTCTAAGGAGTGGGATTGGGGGGAGGAAGGGGAGGGCGCAGGAAGACAAAGGGAGGGAAGGGTGGAGGTTTTGGAGGAAACTGAGTGGGGGCCCCCCTGGTGTGGAAAACTCCACACGCTGAGAGGCAGCTGAGTGGGTCAGAGGCGATGGTGTCCCTTCAGCTCTGCCCTTTCCGCCTCTGGTCACTGCTTTTTCTCAGGATTCTACATCCGGGCAAAGGGCACGCCCCTATGCTGCCTGCCACTGCTCAAGGACGTGGCTGGGCTGGGCTGGGCGGGGTGGGGGCGGGGAGAGGAAGCGTGTAGGGGCTGGGCAGCTCAGCGGACAAAGGAGAACCCCACACCAGCCTGGGGGGCAGGAGTAGGAGGGCACAGAGAGGGAAGGCCCATGCATGACCCCCACCCCTGGGCCCAACAGAACCTGCCCCTTCCTCAACACAGACACAGAGGTTCCCAAGCCAAAGCCCAATTTTATTTACACTCATCCCAAAACACATGATTTGGGGCTAGGGGACAGGTCCCAGGGGAGAGGAGGTTGAAGGTCACAGAGGACAGTGACAGGTGCAGAAGAAGAAAGGGATGGTGAGGATGGGTGGGCCTCTCTTCCAGTGTCCTCCATGGGCTCCACGTGTCTGTCCCCAGGCAGAGGCAGAGACGCCATCTCGTTCAGGATTTGGACTTGGATACAGCAAGTCCGATGAGTCCAGCCAGTCCCGCCACGCCCAGAGCCATGCCTCCAACAATGGCCATGCCCACTAGACCATCTGGGGAGAGGAAAAGGGAGACCGTCACGAGTCCAAAAACCTAGTCCCCGCAGGGACCTCGGCCACCATCTTGCTGCCCGCCGCTCCTCAACAGAGGATGTGCCTCTGTATCTGGAGTCATGGGGTAAGGGACCCCTGAGGGATGGAGAAAGAAGGGGGTTTGGAGAGGAACTGCTTGGAAGGCACCATCTGAAGAGAGACCAGAGGGCCCAGGCACGAGGGAAGGAGGAGGACTTAACAGTTGAGAGGCACCTGGGGATGCTGGGGGCCAGGGAGACACGAGGGTGGGGAGTGGACAGAGACGGAGGGAGAAGGGCAGAGAGGACGGCCTTCACCTTTCTTCATGGCCTTGTCGATGAGCTGTTCCAGTTCCTTGGCCTGGTTGTTCTGCGGCTCTGTCTGCAGCAGCCCTCGCACGTACTTTAGGGCTTTTTCATATTCCTACACTCAAGGAGAATGACACACCCCCCTCAGAATTCTATCCCTCCTCCTACCCATCAGAAGGGCCTTCCCTCCGCTGGCCCCAGGGCTCTTCCCTCTACCTCCACCCCCTCCCTCCCTCCAGCCCCACCCAGTGGAATAGAGTCCACAAACCACCCCAACTGTGTGGGGTTGATAAGCCAAGGGAGATAACAGCCCAAGGCTTGGGGCTGCACCCCACTGCTGACGTCACACTGCTCCCCACACCCTCGGCACCGGATCCTCTGTCTCTCACCTTCCCTCAGCATCCTGCTATCACCCTGCACCTCTGTGACGTGGGAGAGAGAGACGAGAGGGAGCTCGGCCACCCAGGCGGGGTGGAAGGGCTGAAGGAGCTCTCCGCCTTACCTTGAGCCGGTAGTTGCCCACAGCCAGGTAGAAGACATAATCCCGCTGCTCCTCTTTGCTCCCTTTGGGCAGCAGCTCTAGGGAGGGGGGGAGGGAAGAGGGTAAAAACCCCTTCTCTCCCTTCCTAGTGCCTGTGTCCCAGAGACCCCCTCCACTCCCTGAATACCTATAAGATCCTGGGAGAAAGTCACTGTCCTGAGCCTCCATTTCGGCTCCGGTCACTCCGGGCTTCCCAGCCAGAGCTCTGGGGCAGCATGAACCCCAGCTGCCCCAATGCCCCAGTATCCACACCCCGGTATCAACACTACGGTCAACTTTGGTTCATCCAAGTGAACTGAAAGGAAATCAAGGCACCAGAGAAGCCAAAAGGCATCTCTACTCAGCTGTGGCATCTGCTGTGTATTTTAACTGCAGCAGCTTGCTGACCAGAATTGTGTTCAAAATCAGTTTGCGCTCCTTCCCCCTTTAAAAAAACAGCTCCAAACTCACCTTCAGTCACCCCTCCCTGAAAGACCCCACCTGACTCTTAGTTCAGTGACTTCCCAGAGGCTCATGTGTTCAGTTGTACTCTGCATTAGAATTTGCTGCTAAGTGGTTTTGCAGGTGTTTACACATCTTCCCAAGTGTCTGTACTGTCTCCTCAACTAGACTGGCAATGTTTAGAGACCAATTCTACAGCTGTGCCCTGCTGTAGAGGAAACCTGAGAAATAGACAAATGGAGGCGGAGATGATTTGCATTAAGGAAGAGTCTTACTTTTATGGATTTGCAACAGGCATCCTTGGCTAGTACAGTGCTTGCTTATACACCATTACTTGACCAAGAGAAAGGGGGTACAGAGAAATTTAAAGGTCAAGTATTGTGGCCTCTGAAAAATGGTGACCCATCCAAAACCAGCAGCAAATAGGATTCTGATCATAAAAGCACCATGTGCTCACAGGTTTTGGGAACCGTCTTCTGTACTTCTTCCACACCCACCCCCCCCACAAAAGGTTTTCAACAAAAGCTGCTAAATAAGCAACACGGTGGGGGTGGGGGGCAAAGAGCATGGGACTGGGACACACAAGCAGGAGCTTCTAGTCCCAATTCAGCCATAAATCAACCAGCTGTGTGACCCGAGACAAGTCACTTTCCTTACGTCTAGACTACCAGATCACCAAAGTCCAGTGGGGACTGACATGCTATGACTCTGTCTGGCAAAACCATCATCGATGAGCTGGCAAGCCAAAAGTACAGTGGAAGTCAGGCTAAGTATAGCCCTTATTTTACAGTGCGTTTACTGGTAAATAACTGTGAGGTGACTGCACTGTGAGGTCCCATGCTGAAAAAGGATCCCCGAACTTGAGATGGAGGGAGTGAGCCAGGCCAACAGTGGTTGAGGACGATGGCAGTTGGGAAGGGGAGAGCTGGGGAGCCAGCCTAGCACCTCACCCTCCAGCAGAGCAAGGCCTTTACGGATGTCATCGTTGTATTTGCTTCGCACCAGGCACCAGGCATATTCAAACTGCGTGCTCTTGGACACTGAGCCTGCTGCCTTCTCAGACTGAAATTTCTTTTCAAACTTCTGCCATAGGAGAGGAGAGGAGTCATTTAGAGGTGAAGGGAGCAAGCCACACTGTAGCAGGACCTGGGTGTCCCTTTCCCCGTTACTCTGCATCTTCCCCTCTGCCACATTTCCCTTGCGGGTCTTGGGGTCTGGTACCCCAGGTTCTGCCATCTCCATCTCTGGGACCCAGGCATTCTGGTTCTTAGTGGCGGGCTGTCTTGGCCCCCTTCTGCTTCCCTCCCCCTAGTGGTACCGACTGGAGATGCCACCTGCTGGCGGCTCCAGGCACCGCTCCCGGAGCAGCTGACCCCGAAAGGCTGAACAGTAAACACGCTGTCAGAACTGCTCAACAACAGCCCACGCAGTCCCTCGTCGGAGACTGCTTCTCCCATCCCCACCCTGCCGATCTGGACCCTTTCTTATCTGAAAAACGGGAATAAAAATAGTGCCTACCTCCTACCAGAGCTACAAAGATTGAGATCTCCCCTGAAAGGTCATTAGCACCGTGCCGGACTGTGACTAATATATGAAAGTTTAAGGTGGTCATTGTGTTCCCCCTGCCACTTTAGGAGCACTGAAAATCGGGTGCCCGCACCCTGACCTCCTAGCTCCTGCATGCACTCAGCACCCGTCAAACTCCAGGCCCCCAGGCTGAGGCGTGGTGGCGCAGGAAACTACATCTCCCATTAGCCTTCGGGGCAAACTGGAACCTCTGGGCAGGAGCCGGACGCTGCAGGGGCTGCCGGGAGCCGTAGTTCGACTTCCCTAGGCAAAGCTGATGCTGGGAAGAGGGTTTGGCCCCTACCCGGGCTCTCCTCAGGGCCCGCCCTTCCGAATCTTCCTTTTCCCTCCCTTAGGGCCGGGCCTCACCAGTAGGTCCTCCACAGACACCAACTCGTTCAGCACGGCCTCCATGGCCGCCGGCCCCGCAATGCTCACAACTCAGACGCTACTGTGCCACCTTCTCCATGGCCCACTGACCGGGGCGGAGAGTTACTTCCGGCGCCCGGCGGAAGCGGGATCGCCCTCCGCTGCGCAGAGCCAATCGCTTCACGTAGCCGCCGCGAGCCCGCCCCCACCCCGTCCCCCGCGCCGCCGCCGCGGAGCACCGGGGATCACTGATGCGCATGCTCCAACAGGTCCTTCTCGTTCGCCCACGGGTCGCAGGCCGCACCCGGTGCCGGACCTGTCTTCAAGCCCGTCTTCCCGGGTACCCTGCGTGTGCCTCCGTGTATGGAGGCTGCCTCACTAAACTCTGAGACTATGTCTTGGTGGTTAGCCCCCAGACTGAAAACAGCGAAAAGAGAAGGTGGGGAACTGGGCATGAATCCCATAATTTTAGGAACCAGTATAACCCTCCCTCGCTCCCCCGCGCCCCAGTTCTCCCCTCCCAGATATCTAGGACCCTAGAGGCTACGTGATTTTTCAGTGCCTGCAAGAAAATCATAACTAGTACCAGGGTTTCCAGGGCCCCGGCTGACTCTTATAATGCAAGAGGAAAGAGAACAGATATGTTAACTATACACCCAGGACTGGAATACATAATAATGGGGGATGCTATCAATGGGAATTTAAAGAAAAGCGGTTGCCACTGCTTGCAGAGAGGGTCCAGTCTTCTAAATATTATTTAATAAAGCATCCTCTGGGTGTACCCAAGGGGGAAAGGCCTGCCATGTGGGGTCATGGACGATAAGGAGCTTGGCAGTGAGAAGCAACAAAGCATGGAAAGGGGAAATGCTGCACGCCACTCTGGCATCTGTGTTCTGTACAGTGATGGGACTGGGTAGGTAGTGATTTTCAAATTTCTTTTTACCTTGACCCACAGTGCTCCAGTACACATGTGAATGTAAGTTCCATGAGAGCAGAGACTGTATCTTGTTTATCTGCATCTCCAGCTCCAAGCACAAGGTAAATGTTCCAGAAATATTCGTTGAATAAACAGGAAGTAAAGCCGACAGTAGTAATGACGGCAGGGCAAGTGCAGGGGATTGTCATCCAAACACCTTTCACATTTGCAAGACCCCTTGATTTTTTTTTTCTTTCCTCATAATAGCCTTGTGAGTTAAGTTGGCAAGTTATTCTTCTCTATTTGGCTTGGACAGTTGAAATTATTGTGATATGAGCTCAGTAAACTTCGAGAGAAACCTCAGTTTAGGGAACTGACTCCATAAGAGTCAAGGAGAAAAATTCACATTCATTCAAAGATGTATTGAGCTGCTACTTTTGGCTGGGCTTTGAGGTAAGCAGAGAGGGTAAAAAGATGTACAGAATACGAAGCAGATGGGTGAAAACAGGACCGAGCACAAAGGGCAGCTACTAGCAAGGCAGGGAATATAAGAAAGCCAAAAGGGCATTATTTCTATCAGGATGTTACTTCCTTCGGGTGGCCTGCTGCCCCTTATCCATGTTTGTATCTGTTGCAGTTCTTGGCACAGGCCTGGCACGTGGCAAGAGCTCCATCAGGGTTTGTTAAATGTATATTTGTGGGGGAAAAGGAATGCCTTACTCACATGGCTCAGTTCTGTGCCAGTGAAGACATCCTAAGTCTGAGTTTGTGTTTCTCTGGTCTAGTTAGCATAGCCATCCACCCTGGATCACAGGGATAAGAAATAGTGCCTGTTAATTTTACATCCAAATTATGTTTCTCCATCTTCTTCAAGCAGCATCCAAATGCAAACCATTGTCATCTCTGCCTTGGGAGACACTGACAGTCAGCTCACTGGTCCCCTGCATTCATTCTTGCCCCGTTACTGTCAGTTTACCACCCAGCAGTCAGAGGGACCTTATAAAAACACAATTCTCAATTTATCTGGAACCCTTTAATGCCTTCTCATTGTCCTTAGAATAAAGGCCAAAATCTTGTAGCGAAGCCTAGAAGGTCCTCTCAAGTCTGCTCTGTGCTTACCTCTCTGCCTCATCTCTCCATCACTGCCTCTCTCTGTTAGGCCTTCTTTGAGTTCTGAAACCCCCAGTGGCCACAGGCCCTCTGCACATGCAGTCCCCTCTATCTGGAACATCTTTCCCCTCTCCCTTTGTTTATATGGCTCATTCATTCATCCATTCATTCATGACTTAATTCATTCAACAAATACTCATTGAGCACCTGCTATGTGCCGGGCACTGTTTAAGTGCTAGGGATCAGTGCCGAATAAAGTTCTTGTTCTCATGGAACTTGCATTTTAGTGGGGAAAACAGAAAAAATACTTGAACAAGTAAATACCTAAAAACACAATAATGGCAGGAGTTGAAAATGCTCTGAAAACAAATAAAGCAGGGGAAAGGGATTGTGAAAGAAGAGGATACTATTGGAGGAGAGCTCAAAGAAGCCCACCCTGGAGAGGTGACACCTGGGCAGAGAACTGAAGGGCGTGAATGAGCCATGCAGGTAAATGGCGGAAGAGCATTCCAAGCAGACAAATAGGCAGGTGCAAAAGCCTTAAGGAAGGAACGCACACGGGTTGTTGAGAAAATGAGGGCAGAGAGGTAGCCAGGGGCAGATCATGTAAGGCCTTGTAGACTCTGGGAAGGAATCTGGATTTAATTTGATGAGTGATGGGAAAACACTGGAGGGTTTTGGGCAACACAGTGAAATGATCCATCATAAAGGGATCCCTCTGGTGGCTGCTGTGGTGGCCCAGGCAAGAGGCAGTGGTGACCTGGTCTACCGCCGCAGCAGTGGGGGAGAAGGGGTTCAGGGTATATGGTCAGAAGGGAGAGTCAGCAGGCTCTGCTGATGGATCGGATGTGTGAGAGGGAGGTAGGGTGACAGATAGGTTTGTGCCCTGAGTGACCTGGTGAGCTCCTACTGACCCTCAGTTCTAAGCGCTAAGGCTCTTCCTTAGGGAAGGCCTTCCCTGGCATCCAGACTAGGTGAGGTCTCCTGTAGAGACGCAGAGCATTACCAGTCCTACATTTCCAGAATATAAAACGATAACCCGCTCCTTCCTTTCTTAGTTTGCCCTGTGTTTTTGTGAGCCACACAAGTATTGGTTTGGGTATGGTAATAACATCTGCCAGGAGCCAGAGACTTTATTCTGCTCTCGTCTCTTCTTTTCCCCCATAAAGGAATGCTCACACATGACCTGTGGTCCAAAATCATACCAGGAAGGTATGAGCTCCATTTGATCCATAAGGAAACAGAGGCTCAAAAAGCTTAAGTCATCTGCCCAAGGTCACAGAGCTAGAAGTGGAGGAGCTGGGATTCAAACCCGAGTCCTGCTTCAGCTTCCGCGATGAAGAGTCAGTTAAAGAATAAATAGAAAGAAAGGATATGACACGTTTGTAAGTACTCTCTAGTTTTTCATCTTTAAAAAATGTAGGTGTAAATTTGTAATTTTTTGGTTTTGCATGGTAGAGGACTTCCCTTAAGCAGTAGATGAATGAGGAAGGAAAAATTCAGATTAATTCAAAACAGGCAAAACAATCCTGATAAACCATTTTTTTAGTAAAATACGGTAGTAAAATTGACAACAAAACCCCCCAAACCACCACCAGTGCTGCTGAGATTGTTGTAAAACTGGTTTCTGCCTCTTGGCAAGCGGCCTGTATTTTTAGTTCACACTATGTGTTAGTTTTTAATTATTGTGTGATGAGCTGATAAATGCCACCCTCCTGTACTAGACTGGAAGCGACAGGAGGGCAGGGTCTGTCTATCTTGCTCATCTTATGCTCCTGGAGCTCAATGCCTAGCGCCAGTAGATACTCAATTTGTAACTGTTGCATAAATGGATATTGTTGTTGCCATGATTAACTTTTTGGAAGAGAATCAGGCAATATATAGTAAGAGCTATAAGATAAAATATTATTTAACTAGTAATCTACTCCTGTGAGGAAAAAATATTCAACAAAAGCCAAAAAAAGAGAAGAAAGAAAGAAAAGACATGAAGATATTCATTCCTTAAAGAAGATGTGGTACATATATACAACGGAATATTACTCAACCATAAAAAGGAACGAAATTGGGTCATTTGTAGTGACGTGGATGGACCTGGAGACTGTCATATAGAGTGAAGTAAGTCAGAAAGAGAAAAATATCGTATATTAACACATATCTGTGGAATCTAGAAAAATGGTACAGATGAACTGGTTTGCAAGGCAGAAATAGAGACACAGATGTAGAGAACAAATGTATGGACACCAAGGGGGGAAAGCGGCGGGGGGATGGGGGTGGTGGTGGGATGAATTGGGAGATTGGGATTGACATGTATACACTAATATGTGTAAAATAGGTAACTAATAAGAACCTGCTGGGCTTCCCTGGTGGCGCAGTGGTTGAGAGTCTGCCTGCCGATGCAGGGGACACGGGTTCGTGCCCCGGTCCGGGAGGATCCCACATGCCGTGGAGCGGCTGGGCCCGTGAGCCATGGCCGCTGAGCCTGCGCGTCCGGAGCCTGTGCTCCGCAACGGGAGAGGCCACAACAGTGAGAGGCCCGCGTACCGCAAAAAAAAAAAAAAAAAAAGCCTGCTGTATAAAAAAGAAAATAAAAAAAAAAAAAAGAGATGAATACCTCTGATCTAGGAATTCCACTGCCAGCTATTCATCAGTGAGAAACTTGCACAGGGGTAAAAAACCCTCAAACTGGAAACAACCCAAATACCTTTTATATGAATTTAAGAATGAATACTTTATGGTATATACACATAGAAATGAATATAGAACACTGAAAATGAATGAAGTACAGACACATTTATCAACATGGTAAATCTAAAAAAATGTAATGCTGAATAAAGAAAATTTATTAAAAAAAAAAGATATTCATTCCTGCATATCTGCGAAGGTAGACAAACCAAAAAAGCACCAAGGAATGGTTTTATTAAATGATGGCGCACCAATATTACGTTACATCAATGTAATAATAAACAGCCTTAAAGTTATAGTCATCTGGATTCTAGGTCTGTGGCCGATAATACTCAAAACAAAACAAAGTATGTACTTCTCAAATTCAGTCCTGTGAGTGGGCAGAAAAGAAACGGACATTTTTTGTTGGTGGAACTAAAACCTAGAAGTGGTACTTGGTGGCGGATTCCCTCCCTTGACTACACCAGAAATTGGAGCTTGTTCTGGACAAGATGCTGGCCTTACAGCATCTTGTCAGTGGTCAGCCCAGGAGAAGTTCTCAGCAAACACCCACTAAACAGGGTTCCACTACTTGTGTTCTTCCAATCTTCAGTGATCTGTCTCTTCTACTTCCCACTTTCATCTACTATTTAATTAGTTAGGAAGTGCTATCAACCGCAAATTGATTTATTCATCCATCCAACCAACATTTGTTAAGGGTCTACTGTGTACCAGGCACCCTTCTAAGTGCCGGGTAAGAGAAATGAACTAAACAGACATAGTCCTTCCCCCATGTAAGTTACATCTTAGTGGAAGAGAAAAGACAGCTAACGAATAAATACATAGGCAGAGGTGATCTCTGCCTCCATTCTGTCGCCATTCTCTAACAGCCTAAACGTGTTTTCCTCCTCCAACCCAGCCTGGCTGCCAGCTGCATTTTAAAGTGCAAATCAGACTTATCGTCTCCTGATTAAAATACCGTCTAGACTACTCAGGACATTGTTTAAATTTCTTATGCATACGAAGCCCTTCAGGATCGCCTCTGCTTACCTCTCCAGCTTCATCTCCAGGCACCCACGCACCCTGCACACGGAGAGTGTTCGTGGGACGGCCACCTTTCTTTCATCCGGAATGTTCTCCAACCGGAGATCTCCATCCACCAAACACCTGAGCCCCTACGTGGCCCGCAACTAGCAGCCGGGCTCAGGGCCGTTACCCTCCGGGACATCTTTCTTCTATCCGGCCTCCGCGCCTCCAGCCCCTAGGAGGTACAGCATTTATCACCCAGTCCTACAATCCTTTATGTGGACAGGGGCCGTGTCTTGTTCATCTCTCTGCCAAAGGGCAGACACCCAAGAATCGTTCGTGGGGTGAATGAAAGAGTAACGGCAGGCGTTCTAAAAAAGACGCTAAGAACCTCGGAGACGTTTGCACTTCCGGGTGGCGGTTCGGTCGGCACCCGAAGATGGGAGAAGTGGGTACAGGCACCTCCTCAGGGGCTGCTCTAGGAGAAGTGCTCGGTGATCCGGAGGATCCGGGGAGCCCCGAGGGGGAAGAGCGCGGCGTCTGCCTCTGCGCAGTAGTCGCCCTCCGTAGGGAGGCGGAGCCGAGAGAAGCCTGGGGCGGGGCGCGGGAGGGGCGGGGCGCGGGAGGGGCGGGGCGCGGGACGACTGAGAGGTGGAGGCGGCGGTGCCGAGGCCTGGGAGCCTCGAACCTCATAACTCGCCCTTGTGCCCCGGGCTGAATGAAGTCCTACTTGCTAACCCATGCCCCAGCGAGGCCCACTGTAAATTAAAATTTACCTGTTGCCTCCTTTAGAGGCTGTCTTGGCTCGAAAGTATGTGATGAGTGCACACAACGTGCCCATGAATCACCTGGGATCTTGTTAAAAGTGCAGAGTCAGATTCAGGAGGTTTAGGGTTAGGCCCAAGATGTTGGGTTTCTAATAAGCTCCCAGAGGACGTTGCTGTGGATTCTCCAACACACTTTGAGGAGCAAGGGTGTGAAACAGTGGGTTTTTTGGTTTTTTTGGGCTTTTTTGGCTGCATTGGGTCTTCGTTGCTGCGCGCGGGCTTTCTCTAGTTGCTGCGAGCGGGGGCTACTCTTCCTTGCGGTGCGTGGGCTTCTCATTGCGGTGGCTTCTCTTGTTGCAGAACACGGGGCTCTAGGTGCATGGGCTTCAGTAGTTGTGGCGCGGGAGCTCAGTAGTTGTGGCTCACGGGCTTTAGAGCGCAGGCTCAGTAATTGTGGCTCACGGGCTTAGTTGCTCCTTGGCATGTGGGATTCTCCCCGACCAGGGATCGAACCCATGTCCCCTGAATTGGCAGGCACATTCTTAACCTCTGTGCCACCAGGGAAGTCCCGAAACAGTGGTTCTTAAATTCGGTCCCCCAGATTAGCAGCATGGGCATCACCTGAGAATTGTTTAGAAATGTGAATTATCGAGCCCGGCTCCACACCTGCGGAATTAGGATATCTGGTGATAGAGCCCAGCAGTCGGTATTTTTACAAATGCTGTAGGTGGTTCCGATGAACGCTGGAGTTTGAGAACCACTGGACAGCGGAAAAGTCAAATTGAGCCTCATTTCTCTATAGACTTGTGACTGTGATCAATTTGCCTTATATCTAGTTAAGCTTCAGTTTCATCAGCTGAAAAATCAGGATGAAAATACGAATGCCTTCCTAGTGGATCTGTTATGAGGAGGGAACATGAGATAATGATTGTAAAGCACTTGGCACACATAATAAACATTTTATAATAGTTATCAGAGCCTAGAGAGCTTAGAATAATTTCACTAGTGTGACAGGGGCAGAAAAAGACTTTAAAAGAAATGAGGAATGGGGGGAGGTGTGGTAAGCATATGGAGAAATGACTTTACTCTTTCAGGCCACTAAAGTGGAAAAGACAGGGCAGCAGTGGTAGTTACCACAGCAATGTTATCTCTCAGCCATGGTGATTATCCATAAAGCCATTCATTTAGACAATGAATAATTTCATTTAATTTATTTGGAGTGCCTCTTCCAAATGATTGCGTTTCAGAGGGCAATAACAGACAAAGTCCCCCCCCCCCCCCGGCAAACAACAGATGTACCTTAAACTATTTAGGTGTGATTTTCCTACTTGTCTGTTCTGGGAATGACATCGCCTTTGCTGTTTACCACTTTGGTCTTAGGATTTGGAAAAGGGAAGGAGGCAAAAATCAGAAAGAGGCAAGAGAAATTTCTGGATCAGTGAGTTTTTATTCAGCAATGAATTCCAGCTGCCAGAAGAAGAAGTAGAATATCTAGTTGGAGGGAAACCTTCCCAACACATTTTACATTTCATCAGCACATTTTATCAGCATTACCCTGATACCAAAACCAGCCAAGGACACCACAAAAAAAGAAAACTACAGGCCAATATCCTTGATGAACATAGATTCTAAAATCCTCAACAAAATATTAGTAAACTGAAGCCAGCAATACATTAAAAGGATCATAGACCGTGATCAAGAGGGATTTATTCCAGGGATGCACAGACGGTTCAACATCCAGAAATCAATCAACAAGATACATCACGTTAACAAAATGAAGGATAAAAATCATATCATCATCTCAATAGATGCATAGAAAGCATTTGACAAAGTTCAACACCCATTTATCATAAAACTCTAACAGAGTGAGTATTGAGGGAACATACCTCAACATAAGAAAGCCTGTATATATGAAAAACCCACAGCTAAAATCATACTCAAAGGTGAAAAGCTGAAAGCTTGTTTTCTTTTTCTTTTTTTAAAGTGAATGGTTTTTATTATTTTTTAAAATATATTAATTTAATTTATTTATTTGGTTGTGCCAGGTCTTAGTTGCAGCTCGCGGGCTCCTTAGTTGTGGCATGCAAAGTCTTAATTGTGGCAGTGGGATCTAGTTCCCTGACCAGGGATCGAACTCAGGCCCCCTGCTTTGGGAGCACAGAGTCTTAACCACTGTGCCACTAGGGAAGTCCCTGAAAGCTTGTTTTCTAAGATCAGGAATAAGACAAGGCCACTTTGGCCACTTTTATTCAATGGTACGGAGATTCCTCAAAAAATTAGGAATAGAAGTACCATGTGACCCTTCTATCTCCACTTCTGGGTATTTATCTGAAGAACACAAAAACGCTAATTCAAAATGCTATCTGCACCTCTGTGTTCATTGCAGCAGTATTTACAATAGCCAAGATATGGGGGAATGGATAAAGAAGATGTGATACATACACAATGGAATACTACCAGCTGTAAAAAAAAGAATGAAATCCTGCCATTTTCGGCAACATAGATGGACATTGAAGGCATGCTAAGTGAAATAAGTCAGTCATATATAAAAAGAAAGATACACTGTCCACATATTCTCATCAGTAGGACCCTTTATGGTCATCTGAAGGCTTTACTTTGTCTATTTCCAGGCCCACAACTGCTGAACTGCCTTTTTCTGTATAGTTTGCCAGGATTATCTGAACAGCAGGGAGTGTAACAAATTGGCACATTATAGGAGTGAAAACGTTTTATACATTTAAATCATTAAACCCTTATCTCTATTCTCTTGATCTTGACCAACAACATGCCACGGAGCTTACACGGCTATAGGGAAAATAAAAGGACTGCATCTCTCTAAAGATGGGAAGCCCCAGTCTGGACATAGGGCTTTTGTTTTCAAAGAAATCAGGTCAATTATCAGAGGACCTATCTGGTTAACATGGAATTTGTTTTAAAATGATAATGCTTTCATTAGGGTAGTTGAGAAATAATACTTTCACTAAACTTTTGAATCACTCTCCGCCTGCTGAAGACCTAGGGTATAACTTCCTCATATCTTACGTCATCTATTTCTTCTATAATCTCAGTCCCAGGCTCACCGCCTGTGTAAGACTCACTCTTCCTGTTGGGTCTCTCTTTTACTCTCATGCTACAACCACAATCGCAGCACTTATGACACCAGATGTGTGGGGTTTTCCCACACCGAGCAATTCTCTGTGACACCAGCTGGGTGTCCTACCATTCAATTCAGTTCTGACGCTAGAGTTAGCACAGACCCTGCAGGTGACAGGCTCAGTCCCACAAGACTGGCCCCCCCAACTTTAGATGCCAGTCTCGAGTGATAGTTCCCCAGTTTACCTGTAACTCCTGTCTGACTTGGCTACAAACTGAAGGTTCCCATGAGCATCCCTCCTTGGATTCGACTCTGCTAGAACAGCTCACAGAACACAGGCAAACACCTTTACCGGTTTATTATATAATAAAGAATACAGCCAGATGAGAAGATACGTAAGTTGAGGTCTGGAGGGGTCCTGAGCTCAGGAGTTTCTGTTCCCTTTGAGTTGGGGGTGCACCACCCTCCTGGCACATGGACTTGTGCATTAACCCAGCAGCTCTGTGAACCCCAAACATTTGGGATTTTTAGCGAGGCGTCCTCACGTAGGCATGATGGGTCATTAACTCCACTTCCAGCCCATCTCCCCTCTCTGGAGAATGAGGGTGGGGCTGAAAATTCTAGGCTTCTCATCATGTCTTGGTCTTTCTGGTAACAAGCCTCTCCTTCAGGAACCCACCAAGAGTCATCCTATTAGAACTAAAGACGCTCCTATCACTCAGGAAATTCCAAGGGATTTAGGAACCCTGTGTCAGGAACCAGGGTCGAGCACCAAACATCAGAACAAAAGATGCTCCTACGCTCCTAGTGCTTTTATTAAGAAATTACAAGGGTTTTAGGAGCTCTGTGCCAGGAATAGGGGGCAGAGACCGATACATTTATTTTCTATTATTTCACACTCCCCTAAACAATACTAGCATGATATTAAAAATAATCCAATTTATTGAATATACTAGATTATTATTCCGATTTCTCACTTACATTGCTTTATTTTCCTGGTTGCTACACTTTAATTTCACACATGAATTCAAACTAATTAGTGTATGAGGAGAGTATTATGGCAGATCTTTCACTGAAAGTTGTGAGTTTTTTTCTTTTTTTTTAAAGTGTGTAGTTTTATCACTTTCAAGTACTGTAAATTGACCTGGGTTAGTATTAATTAATAAAAACCCTTGAGGGTCATTTTGTAATAGGAATGTTCTTTACTAAAGTAGTGACTATTTGTAGATAAATCAGTATGAAAAAAGATGCTTGGAAGTTGTCAGCTCACTTAAATAATTTAATTATTCCCTTGAAACCTGTGTAGTATAGTGAGAAGGCACCATCAATTTCTGATAACCTGGGGAAATAGGAGGAGGTGACATAGGTCACATTTACTTTAAGATAGTAATTAAACAAAACATGATGCAAAGTATATTTTTACATGTAAATGTTTTTCATTAAAGCATTCATTGTTTTTACACATGCATTCACACATTCATTGTTCTATAGACATTATTCAAAAGTATAAAACACCCTTTTTTAATTTCATTTATTCAATAAACTATGCATGATTCATGCAAAATGATCGTTAGTTTCAAGCCTTTTTCAGTGATTTCCTCCTCATAAGTATGAACTTACACAATGATAGAGCAACAAAATTAGCTGCTTTGACACCTACTGTTGAAGAAAGCAAAAATATTTATTGCAGGGCAGGGGTAGGTAAAAGATTTCTAACCATAATCT